TTCGTTTCACTTGTTAGATCTAGTATGTAATTTCTCTAGTACCACATTTGCTATTGTTTTTTCCCTTTGTTTGGTTCAGTGGTTCTTTGTTTGTAGTCTGTATATTGTAGTAAGAAATTGAAGAACAAAAGATATGTAGAAACGATTGCTTGGTTTAATTTTCCAAGATGTTTGTATGTAGTCCAACTTCTACTGATCTGGTGAGAAAAGTATCTTTGATCATTTTCTTAGCATATATTTTATCACCAATAACCATATGCTGATGGATGCAGCTTTTTTAGTTGGCTTGCTGAAACTCAGCTTAAAGATATTGCAGATGGGCTTAGTGATGAGGTAATTGCTGTGTCCGGCTGCCTGAGACTATTTACTTTGTTGCATTCTTGTTGCTCATCGTTTTATGAGTTCATAATTATGGCAGTTCATGTAAACGATTGCTTGAGACTATTTACTTTGTTGCATTCTTATTGCTCGTCCGTTTGATCAGAGGCGGATCCAGGATTTAATGTTTATGGGTTCCTACAACGACTTCGAGTAAATTTCCAATAGTAATTGGGTTCACATTTAAATATTTGTAGATATTTAATGAATTTTTAGAACACATTTACACTGTTTGGACAAAAGCTACTGGGTTCACGGGAACCCATATGACATGCTAGATCCGCCCCTGCGTTTGATGCGTTCATAATTATGGCATTTTATATATCCGACTGCTTGATACTAATTACTTTGTTTCATTCTTATTGCTCATCATTTGATGAGTTCATAATTGTGGCAGTATATGTAAACGACTGCTGAGATTATTTCATCTTTTGTTATTTTTCCGAATTTCTTATCAGATACTTAAAAGTAAAAACATTATATAGTGCAACAAATTTAAGTCTATCCAAAAGCTCAGCTTCTTTCAGGTATTTTATATGTTTCCCCGTGGCTGCAGGTGGGAGAGATAATTAAGGACGGCTTATGGCCCAATCCACCGAATTTTTTTAACAACATAACACTTTACCTTTCATTCTAGGTTATGTGACATGAAGAATCTGACGGAGACGAGGACGATGAAGAGGTAAACATTGATGAGATTACACTTACCTTCCTTTTTATTGTTTTTTTGATATGGACCTTGTGGTTTTCTGCTAAGCTTTTCTGACTTGCCTATTGGATCTTCTGATTTTATTTTTTTTGGGGTTAAATATACTATGATGTTGTTGCTGTCCTTTGGTGCATTCCTATCTCACTGTTCCTTGTTAAAATTTGAAACCTTTATTCACTAAATAGATGGTGCATATGTCATGAAACAAACACAGAAAGATGCATAATTAACTGTTCCAAAATAAACTTTTTGGTATCTCGGTTAGCCATTTTAGATCTGAATTTTTATTGATCTTGGATATTCTCAATCTAGGCACTACTACTTGAGTCTTGACTCCAATCTTAACCTTTTCCTTTCAAGCTGCTACAGCCAGTACTACACAAGTTTCATAGAGTGACATGGAAGATGATGCATTGTGGTGAAGTTGTTTGGACTTTTTCAGAAATAGTGATGAAATGTTGGAATGTCGATGACCATAGTTAGCTGTCAATCTGATGACTCATTAAAGCCTTAGAATGAAAAAAAAAAATGTTCACGTATAAAAAAAAGGTGGACATGGGCAACAAGAAACGAGAGTGTAAGTTGAGGCATTAACCATTAGTCCCAGCCTCAGTTGATTAGCAAGTTGTACTTTTCTTTAGTAAGCAGCACTATGGTGCTCCACAATATGGTGATAGGTTAAACACTGCTCTTTGATCAGTGATTCACCAGCCACCGGTCGCTAGATCCAGGAAATTCACCTTAATTTCAAACCTGGGGGCTCAGCTGATTCGCGGCTTTGTTCTATATATAGTACCTTTTTCAAGTAATTAATATGCCAGAGTTTACTTGTGATTGGTTGAACAGCTCCTTCCCCCTTTTTACTGGGGAATGGTTTTTCTTTTGAACAATTTTTGATTCAATTAAGTATAAGGTCGCTTCAAAACTTAAGAAAAGGAGAGAGCATTCCACAACTCATCCCCTTGTATGATAGAGCGACATTCTGTAGACATACTTTTTTAGTGTGGATACGCTTTAAATTGATAACGAGACCTTTTAGTTAAAAAAATTCTGCAAATATTATCCCCAAAAAGAGACTTAAGCCGTCTGTTAAAAACAGATTTGATCTCCTAAAATCGAGCCAAAATGTTTAACGAAAATTGAAAGCAATCACACAGTATGTCTTCCCGGATCTTCTGATTTTTAAAAGGAAATTTTACCTTTTACAGCAAAGGTATACATCCTATTTATTATAAATCAAAATCATTTATTATTTTCTGTAGCTACCTTTTATATTTTATAGCAAAATAAGTATTTATGATATATACTACCATCGAGGTATGAAATAAGGCATTGAATACGCTATTTATGTTTTTCCTCTCTTAGATAACTGGACATACCTATTTTTAAGGTGATTGCCATTACTGTATTCATGAATACATGACGCGAATACATGTGAATACATGCACATACAGGTAGACTGCCCTGATTTTAGGCGCTTTTTACTGTTATATTCATGAGTACAACAGCTCGAATATATGTGAATACATGCGCGTACCGTTGGACTCTCTAATTTTAGGCGTTTTTTGCTACTATATTCATGAATACATGGCGCGAATACATGTGAATACATGCACGTACAACTAAACTGTACTGATTGTAGGAGATTTTTGCTGTTGTATTCATGAATACAACAGTGTGAATACATGCTCGTACAACTGGACAGCCTTTATTTTAGGCGGTTTTTGCCGCTGTATTCATGAATACAACAACGCAAATACAGCGAATACACTACCCGTAACAACTGAATAGTAGTTATAGGAAGTAATTATGTATATTGTAGCTATAAGAAGTTAATAGCCACTAAATAATAGTGGTTTCTGAAAATTCCTCTTTTTAAAATACCCAACATTGCTATAATAACGTTATTTATTTATATAATAACGTTGAATAATTTTTTTTATAATAAAAATCATTTGGTGCATATTCTCTTATATATTGTTCTAAAGAGTGTCAATTTATATATATATATATATATATATATGCTTTAGAATTCATATTATTGATTCACGATTAAGAAAGGAACATAAAATAGAAACAGATATATGTTATTCCGGTCTAATAATTACTTCTTGCAGTTAAAATAACTATGTCTGGTACATAATAATAATATACACACGTCCATTTGAGGAGTTGTTGGTTCACAATGTAGTTAAATAAAAGTTATAATACATAGATTCTTACGCAATGAAAAACATATAAAGATTATTATGAGGTGAATCATAATGTGTTATGAATGATATAAAAATAGTAAAGTTGTTATGTCAATATAGTTAAATAAAAGTTGTAGCACAGAGATTATTATAAAAGTTATAGCACAGAGATTCTTAGGCAATGAAAAACATATAAAGATTGTTACGAGGGGAATTATAATGTGTGATGCACGGCATAAAAATAGTAAAGCTATTATCTCGGGGAATATATTCTTACCTCATTATATTATTTAATTATATAATAAAATAAATTGATAGTATAATTTAGTGGAAACACTAAATATAGGACTTAATAGGCATAGGAGCAAAATATCCCAGTCCCAGTTTTCACTTGTCAGCTCTTTGTCTACACTTTCCCTCTTCGTCCATTGAACAAACTCTGCAAAATTAAAGCTTCGCTTCACAAACAAAAAGTGCAAGTGATAGTATCATCTAATCAAACCACACCTCTTCACCCCAACCGTAATCAACAACCACCCATTATCACAAACAACTCAGTATTTTTGGACCGTAGAGAGCTCCGCTTCGATAGCATTTCCTCGGCCTGCTCCCCTGATCCAGTGATCCCTCTACTCCGTAACCCATTTCCCCACCTTCTTCTACCGCTTTCACTCCCACGTACTCTATGCCCGATTTATATTACATACTGTAGTAGACTTAAAATAAATAAAAGTTGCATAGTGTTTCTCCCGCTTTAATTTACTAGTCTTACGTTACTTTACGTGCGTTGCATATGTATTTAGCGTCAATCAATATATATATATAATTAAAATAAATTATTTAAACGACGAAGTTGAATATTATTACAATGACATAGTACTTGAATTCAATATCTTTTGAATGCAAAAATGACGATTTAGTTAAATTAGTTGTATAATATTGTGAAATTATACATATTTTATAACATGAGATACAAATATTTTAACTTTTATGTTACCTCACATCTCTTTATGAATATATTTTGTCTTCTATTATTTCATCCTCATTTCTTTAAGTTTACATTTTAACAAATTTAATTCTTAATATTATACTATAATCAATTTTGTTCTATTTTCTGATTTCTTTCCTTTTTAAGGACAACAAGTTATGTACTCTAAAGTTTATGTAAACTTGAAAAGTAATTTAATATATATGATAAAAGAATAAATTTGAACTATTCTGCTCATTAATTAATTCAAATACTTAACTAAAATTTCAGATGAATCTCATAACGCTCTTGTTTAAATCAGGGCAGCTTAGGCGACCTTGGTTGACGTGCTAATGTATATTTTGTTTGAGTTGTTATTCATATTTTCATTACAATCCAAAAATGCTGCATAATTTTGTAAGGCATAGTTTCTTTCCTTGAGGAATTAGCTAAACATGACCATCAATTTAATATTTTTCATTTTCAGAATCTTAGGATTTACTTCTTTAGGGTTCGTTTGGTTGGAAAACATGTTATCCTAGGATTAGTTATCTCGGAATTGTTATCTCATTCTCCCATAGGGACAAAAATAACACTACAATTTCGGGATAATTAATCCCAAGAGTGATCACCTAATTTTTGATTATATTTAAAATTTTCACCACTTTTAGTAGTTAAATAGTTTTAAGTTTAATCTTTATATTTTAGCTTTTGTTTTACCTTTTTATAGATTTTATTTGAGAAAATTGAAAAGCAACAAAAAATTCACATTTTTTTAGTATTAAATTTTATTCTAAACCAGTCCAAACCAACCCCCAAAAATCAGCCAAAGCACAGCTGAAATAATCCCCAAAAATGCAGCTGCATCGCGCCTCGAAACAACCATGAAAGGCAGTTGAAACAGTCCCATAAACAGCCATGTAAAACGCCCTTTTCAACACTCAAATCCAGCTCCCAAAAAACCATTAGAACACAAGCTTTAGTCGAGTTTGAGGTTGCGGACTGAGGTCATAGTTCGTTAACTCCGGTCTGAGTCCATCTGAAGTTCATGTATTTAGATGAATTTGTGCTCATCTATTAGAGATTGGGTTTGGAGGCTCGTTCTTCTGTTGTTCGGATTCGTTAGAGGTTTATTCTTCCTTTTCTTTACTATTTCGCTCCTAATATCATAATTTGTTGTCAGTTTTCTTTTGATTTCTGCTGCTTTGTCCTATTAATTGTTTGAGTTAGTATTTTTGTTGATTTTTGCTTTGTTTTGTGGAAATTTCAATGCGTTGGTTTATTCCTTTTTTTTTTGTTGTGATTGTTTGGATTATTGTTGTATGGGTTTAGTAGATAAAAATAGAGAAACTTTCATAAATCACTATGTTTTAGTGGTTATTAGCTATTTGTAGCTACCATTTATTATATTACTTCATATAGCTATGTTTTTAGATTTTTTAGAGTGTATTCAATGTATTTAAGCTACTGTATTCATGAATACAATAGCATTTCTAGGCGTGAATCAGGGGATTATAGCTAGACAGATTTTTATATTCGAGTGTATTCGACTGTATTCATGGCGTGAAACATGGGATTACAGCTGGACAGATTATTGTATTCAGTTGTATTCGACTGTATTCACGACGTGAAACAGGGGATTACACTGTTTTTAAACGGAAAGTGAATCAATTAACATAATAGACTCCTAATATAACTCAACAAACTCAATTATAACACACAAATTTTATATTTCCAGTTATAAAAAAGATTCTCAACTGAAAAACTCCCCAAAAACATAACAATCTTAAGAGAAATTATATAATACATCTGAATACATAAATTATATTAATTAAAAAATATATATGAATACATTCATGGAATATAGCGAGACAGTGAATACAATGAAATACATAGAATATAACGGGATACATTAAAATACAATGAAAAAAAGACAATGAATACAATGTAATACATAGAATACAGCGAGATACATTAAAATATATTAACAGAAAATTTAAGTTGCTCAGCCCCAAACTCCGTCGTCTTTGTTCAAGAACAACTCTAATGTCGTCTCGCCGTCACCGTTGCCTCCGGTTGCCGTTGTTACGTTGGAGAAAATTTATATATCAGACGATTGCTCGGCAACCCAAAAGTCTTCGCCGAAAAAGATGAAGCGCTGCTGAAGTAATCACCTCCCGAAAATCATAC